TTGAAGTCAATAAAAGTAATGGGTATTCTCAAAAACGGTTACTATCTTTGCAGTGAGCGTGCTCACATACAACTTTGTGCCAAATGCCAGCCGTGTAGCTCTACTACAAAGAATAGAAAAATCGACAGAAATAATAGGCACTTTCAAAAACACTTATTACAATCGTCAATGTTCGCTTACCCCTCTTTGCCAACTCCTAGCCCCGTAGTTCAAAATTCGCGAAAAATCGATAAAATGATAAAAGTAATGGGCATTTTTGAAAATGGTTATCATATTCGTAATCAGCATGTTTGCTTACCCTCCTGTGCCAACTCGCAGGCCCGTAGTTCAAAATTCGCAAAAAATCGATAAAATGATAAAAGCAATGGCCATTTTTGAAAATGGTTATCATATTCGTAATCAGCATGTTCGCTATCCCCCTGTGCCAACTCTCAACGCCGTAGCTCGAACTTTGCAAAAAATCGATAAATTGATAAAAGCAATTGATAATTCTGAAAACTTGTTGTATTCGTAATCAGCATACTCGATTACCCCCTTTGCCAACTCCCAGCCCCGTAGTTCAAAATTTGCAAGAATGATAAAAGTAATGGGCATTTTTGAAAATGGTTATCATATTCGTAATCAGCATGCTCGATTACCCCCCTGTGCCAACTCGTAGCCCCGTAGTTCAAAATTTGCAAGTAATCGATAAATTTGGTAGATGTAGTAACAAGTTTCCGTACTGGAAAACAACAGACACGAAAACACCATCGACCAGAAAAACACCATCGAGGACGTACAGACAGCATCCACCAGCGTACAGACAAGTACGCCATTCGGTTTTATATATATAGAAGGATTGGCATAAAAGTTCTGACCACCTTTAAAAACTGTAGCTTTCTGCAAACTATTTCGAAATTTATCATAAAGGAGCTATTATAAGCCTCAAGAATTGCACTATCCAGTTAATTAAAATTTGTGTTAATCAATCGCCTTAGTTCAAAAGTCATAATCGTTGAGATTAGATACAACCAAATTCGCTGTTTTCTGCTTTTCGAAGATCATGAATTTCGACAAGATGTTCAATCAGCAAATTTTGCCTAGTTGGGATTAGCGTGGCGTAAAGCTTCTTGACTGCTCAGCGTTTTTTTTTGCAGGAAAAGTTTGGTTGAACGCAACAAAATCGAAACTTGATCAAATTTTTCTACCATCTCTTTTATCAATAGGTGCTATTATGAAGCATAACTTTTATCCGAATAAGATCAAAGTTCTGCAAATCACTTAGAAAGCTGGAAGCTATATAACCCAGCGTTTGGTCTTCCGCAAACTCTGGTGTTTCCCGCTGAGGTGAGCCGGCACATTCTGGTAGTCACCTAAAAAAGATGCAATTGACGCGACATTGCTTTCCCTTCAGTAATTAAGTTCATATTTTTGACTAGAGCGCAAATAATTGCAGAAATGTGTCATTTCCCGTCTGCATTCAACCCAGATTGTCATCCAGGGAGATATATAGATAGAGGAGAGACGCTCATACTCTATCTTGAACAACCGACCGGAACTTCCGCAGTGCTTTCGCTTTTGCAATCTCAGGGTGCAGGGTTTCCGCAGTACTTTGTTTGGAGTTCCGCAGCACTTTGCGGTTTTCGCATTTTATTCGCGATCCGTTTCTCCCATATCAACCTTCCTTTTTGATACTAGGTTTTCCTTTCCAATACTAGATTTCGCTTTTTACTAAGGCATAATTCCATGTCGAAATTCCTCTAGACTTTTTAGATGCTAAGAGACGTAGACAGCGACATACTTTTAATGAGAAAGCAAATGGCACAGTGTATTGTTTTATGCAGGTACCATAAAGAATCACAATAGGCCAAAGTTGATAATTGCTTAACAGATCAATGAAGTGTTCATAAATAAATATACATAAAATCACAGAGGCATTCGAGTATATATGCATAACCGAATAAGGTTGGAAAAAATCGGCAAATATTAAGAATTAAAAAGCAATGTTACACTGATGGAAGAGTAAAGAATGATGGAGGAATAAGATAAAAACAAGAATAACAATCTTGTTTACAAAGTACATATAATATGTGCTTTAAAGGGAAGATGGTCCTGTGGGGAAATAAACCCTTTCCACTTATCGGGTCAATTTGACCTTGTCCGCGCGACTGAAGCCGGCTTCGGCCTCCCTTCCTTTCTGTAATGAGAATTAATTACAATTTCTTAATGTAAAACGTGCCTTGCCGCAAGTGACTTTGCTGGCGTCGCTTCTGCAGGGATCGTCAAGCCTGGATGATGGGTCCAAAAGGTGTGTAAGGCATTCCCCTAACAATGCTCGCAGTAATCAAAGTTTTGGTCCACCCTGTGCAGAAAGACAAGACTCCAAAGTCACTCACTCGAAAAATGGTGCATTTTTAGGGCCAAAAAATGGTCGATTTTTTAAACTTTCTGGAAAAATTTTTTTTGCAGGTGGTCTGCAAAACTACGAATGCTCCACATAACAGCCTCGGTAGACTTCTATATAACTACAGCATTTGAGCTCTCCGTCGTGCATGAGATAATGCTGCACAAATAGGCCATTTTTCGCAACGACTTTTTTCCCTTCTGCGCCAGCTGGTGGACCACAGTGAGGTGCTAAAAAGCCAGCAAAACAAACATATGTTGTGGACAAAATTGTCTTTACAATGAAGTTTGTTGCTTCAAAAAAGAAACAATCTGCTTGAAGTTACAGCGATTCAAAAAAATTTTCGCAATTGCCCGGAAACTTTTTTTCAACCTAATAATATTATACTAAAGAACCAAAAGCTCGTCCCCATCCTTTTCAAAATTCGAAACTTTCTTCCTTCACATCCAATCTGAACATGTTTATTTTGAAAGAAGACATGCTTTCTAAAAATACCTGAAGCACTTTTTGATAGTTCCAGAGATCGAAGTCGGTGAAAAAAATTACTCCATTTTAATATTTCCCATGTTTGGTCGTAAAAATCTGCTTGCAGAAAATCGGACCGGACTTTTTTCAATCGGACTATTTTAAAAAATCATAACTTTCTTTCGACTCGATGGATCTCCTTGATTTTATATTCATCTAGGAAAGGAACTCATTTTCTTTACAATGGTATCTTTGCCATAAAGTGGCTTAAGAAAGTTCGCGAGTTAGAAGCAATTAAAGATTACTCAAGATGGGCATTTTTCAAGCAGGGTCACCAAAAAATTCTGGAATTTTTCGATAGAAAAAATTATGTTCTTTATTATATGCCTTTTCCAAAAACAAAAAGGGAGAATTAGAAGCAACTGAAGAGAACTATTACTTCAGTTTTGCAATTTTTAAACATGTTCAAAAATGCCCAAAAATGTCACAAAAAAGAAGGGAAATTCATGAACATTTTGTCTGTGGGTTTTGTGATCTTCTTCTAGCTGAGAGAAACTCGTGCCAATCGAAAGCAATTTTGATTTGCGTAGAAAATCAGATCTGAAAACTCGGTAATGTTACGAAAATCAAAATTGCTCTCGATTGGCACGAATTTCGCTCAACTAAAAAGAGAAGGTCACTAAACCCATGTTCACATGAATCCCGTCCCTCCCGACGCAAAACTGAAGTAATTCTCTTTATTTGCTTCTAATTTTCAATCTTTTTTTTGTTTTTGGAAAAGGCACTATAGTAAAGAGCATAGCTTTCTCTATCGAAAAATACTTTCAGAATTTTTTGGTGACCCTGCTTGAAAAATGCCAATTTTGAGTAATTTTCTTCAGTTGCTTCTAACTTTCAAACTTTTTTATGCCCATTCGCAAAAGTACTGCTGTAAAGAGAATCATTTCCTCTTTTAAATGAATGTAAAGCAAAGATATCCATCGAGTCGGAAGGGGGTTATGATTTTTTGAAAAACTGACGAACGTACTTTTGCTCCCACCTAACTTGAATCTGAAAATTTTTGAAAATATTTCAAAATTCACCAAGAGTTGTGAATCACTTTGAAATTTCGGTGACCCATTCCCCCCGCCCCTTTGTTTTGATATATTTCTACCTAATCACTTCTGCTTTATTTATATCCAGTGCAAATTCTCTACAAAGTAGTAGTTTTAAATTACTTGCATTATTATTTTAATCAAAGCACGTAAAGTAAAGAAATTCGACATACCTGAACAAGGGCGTTGTGCTTAGACGAAGTCCCTCCGTTGAGTCCTTTTCTAGCACTCCAGCAGCTTGGTGATGGTTGTTCACACACCTGCACCGATGCCTGAAAAATACTTACAGTTAGCATATGGAAGAGTATAGGTTTACTTACGCCAACATTAAAGAAAGAAAGAAAAAAGAGAAAGATTAGAGGAAGAACAGAAGCGAAACAGTATGGAAGAAAAGAGTGCGCTATGCGCCGTTGATGTCGCGTTCGCTATTTCGCAATCGCGGCATGCGCTCTAAAAGTCCTGCGGAAATGCTGGCAGGTCAAAGTGCTGCGGAAACCTTACGAGCCTCACTGCACTTTCGCAGCGCTTTGTGGAAAGTGCTGCGGAAGTTCCGGTATACGATCGCTAAGAGTCAATTTCCTGCGGAAACCTCGCATTTTGGAGCGTGCACTTTCTCAGTGGTTAAGAAGGTGCTGCGGAAAAGCTGCAAGTTCTGCTTGTCCCGCGGAAGTACCGGTGAATTGTCTGAGATTGCAGTGGGTTGCCATTACCAAACAGGGATTTGTTTTGACCTGTCCTGCCGCACTCGTCTGAATGTTTTGAAGCAAAAGATTGTAGAATTTGGCTGAACACTATTCTTCCTATGAAGTCGGAAAGTTTTGATGGTGCAGGAAACAGCTAAGCGAGCTAAGCGCACAATTTTTTCGCTTCTTAAACATTCAAATCTCGTAAAATCATTTCTTGAAGTTTTTGAAATGTAAATGAATCTAGAGCGAGCTATTATTGGTTCACCGTAGATCCTTTTGATAACTCGTTCACTATGAAATGGCTGTAGTTCCAACTTCGCACGGTATTCGTAAAAATTTTCTTACTATTTCGTTTGAGCAAAATTTGTAATAGGTAGCAGGAGAATCGTCCAAGTTTCAACTGACAAACTTATACTTGGATAACAAGGGACAGGGCAACAGTATGTGGTAATACATATACTTGTATTGCAATGCCAGTGACTGTATACTAATCTGGACACCTTTGTTTAGGAATGCTTTAATATACTCTGTCGGCGCAAACTTCTCTACAGTAGACCGCGTCAATGATTCTGAACTGGACTGTTCATGAAAATTCAAAATGGCGTAGGTGTATTTATATTTTACAAACAGGTGCTGTTTTCTTAAACGCATCGGAGCGAACTTTTTCTACGCTTCTCATTCGTAGGTTTTCTGTAAACCCTTTATGCTCTCTTGTGCAGTTTTGGACAGTGTTTTGAAGATCTTAAAAGTTCTTTTTTGTAATGTTTTCAACTGTTTATTTGCAAAGAAATGCTTCTTTCCAAATTCACAGCTAAAACTCACGCTGAAGAGATTCAGAAAATACGGGGAGACATTTTTCAAATAGGTTCTTTTCTGTTTTTTGGTCGACAGTAATTTGTTTTGATGGCCGTTGCATATAATGTGCCAGATTAGGGTAAAAATTCTACGCTACATTCTACTACCAACTTTCATTAAAACTGTAGCAAGCGCAGCTTTGCAAAACTGTATTTATCATATCGGTCTCAAACTCAAAAACAGCGCTCCGGCAAGATCTGAATGTGAAGATGACCATTTACCCGAGCTTATCCGTACCGCTGAATTCGATTGTATCTGCAGCGCTCGAAAGAATGAGCTTTTCCGAAACTCCCAGATTCAAATTAAGACGCGAGTACGCGAACGCCAAGGTTAAGGGGTAGAGTCGCTAAGGGACTTTACAATCATGGCTGATTTCGTTGTATGCTATCTAGCCATGCAGTCCGAAATCGTTGTGAGAGCGGCATCCTCGCCTACCGTATCAGGCGGGGCACTTTCGAAGCAACTTTTGGACTTTTAGATCCCCTTCTTCGCTGCAAACTTCAGCCTCTAGGAAGGGGGTTCACCATGGCACCGCTGGAAAGGCCCGGCAGCCCTTTCCTTGAAACGGAACGCTGCCTAAGAGAAAATATCAATCTGTCAGTAACAAATTGCTCGTAGTAGGTGTGACGTCAACAGCTTGAAAACCAATATTTCTAGAGGATGGTGGTTACGCAACTGTGCTCTTTCGTCACTGAATGGAGATTACAATTTTGCTGAAGCGAACGGATACGGTGAGCGATACTTCGCTTTGTTTGAAGCAAAGCAAAGCACTTTTTTTGCGTAATAATTTATAAGATAATCCGTGATCTTCAATTCCAGGCATGGTTTGGACCATGAGTGGAATGAATGATATCATTCATCCTACATCAACCAGAATGATGCTCAGATCCACATCTTTTTCAACATGATTTGATTAACTTGTGGCCGCTTCCAATGTTTCACTGAATATAATAATGACAGTTGAAATGTACTCTGCAAAATAAATTTTCATCAAAGATTTACGTTTGCTAAAAAAAGAAAGGAAGACCCTTGAGAAAGCGTAGGGAGCTGCAAGTAATTGAGATAAAAAACAGCAACATTTTTTTCACAAATCATGAACAGCATTCATCATTATTCATGCTTTTAATTGAAAAGTAGGGAGAACACGCAACCTATACTTCTACAAAGGGCTTAATTGCTTAATTCTTTGCGCTTTTCACTATGGACCAAAAAATGCCAAAGGCTGGTCAGAGGTGAAATTAATGTTCATATCGCACATCAATTCAACTCTTCTGATATACTGTGATCCAGTGGCGTGCCGAGGGGGAGGGGGACGGGGGGGGGAGCGCGCCCCCCCCCCCCCCCCGAGAATGAGCCGCGAAATTTTTGAAAGTTACTTATATGGGTTATAAAAATGTGCAAGTGACTCGTTTGTTTTTGTAAATAATTAAAATAACTTTTAAAAATTTTTAAAAAATCAAATTAGCCTTGTAAAAAAAATTTTTTTCGGGGGCGTGGCTAACGCCACGCCCCCTTTTTCCAGATTTTAGGGGTCGGGGACCCGCAAAAGTTTTGAGAAGCACCCCAAAAATTTTTTCGGAGTGCGTGGCTAACGCCACGCACCTTCTTTAGAGAAAAATTTTTGTCGCGCCCCCACGAGCCGAAATCCTGGGTACGCCACTGCTGTGATCTGATTGTTGAGTAGATGTGCCTGAACTGTAGCGCCTGACAGTGTCGGTCCGAGGGGGACGGCAGAGGGGGAAGGAAAGGAGCGGGGCGGGGGAGGGGGGGGGAAGAAACGGGAATGAGCTGGCATAGCGTTAATCATTCTATCCGAAATTTGGAATGCTTTCTGTTTTTCGGCCTAAAAACTTGTAAAAAAATTTTTTTATGCGAGTTCAGTTAATGAGTTTTTGTTTATTGAAGAGTGTGATAAAGTTACTTCCATTGGAGCTGTCGGCAAACACTGACGCAGCACTCCAATCTTCAAGGCCAATCTGCAGACTTGGTAATTAGATAAGCACAAAATCACATTTATCACATCATTTTTCGATTTGTGAAAAAGATGTGAGATCAGAAAATGCCTAAGAATGTTTATTGAACAAACCGCACTACAGCAATAGAAGCTTTGACAGATCTGGTTGAGTAATCCAAAAGCTTTATCACATACCCTTTGCTTCAATAAGATCGGCCACCGGAGGGCGGGGCTTCGTGACCTACTCAGATAATCGCCGAGGGCAGGCGCTCCGCAAACTCGCGCTTTTCTGCAGGCGGTCAGCAGAATTTTGGGGCGTGGCCAAACCTTCAGCGGGCGGCACTTCCTTTACGGTCGCATATTCTGCCAACGGATAGCAATACAGAATTTTCAATTTTCTGCAGGCGCTCGTCAAATAATCTCTTTCAGCGAGCGCTGGTCAAATTTTCAACTGGCGCTCGGACGGTTTTCAAGCAGTTTCGGGTGTACGCCGAGCAAAGGTGAGATTCTACATGGCAGAGATGTCACCGTTGGTTTAATTACTCAAGTTTGAGGTACTTTCTCTCAGCGGAAAGTAAGTATCTGGGGGATGTGCGGTCCTCCACAAAGGACCGTGCGGCCTTCGAAATTTTTGCATATTCTAGCGGAAAGTCCGCGAGAATGCGGCCACTGCGCCGCAGCTAATCCATAAAGAAACCGCAATTGTTCTTCAAGCATTCGTCTTTAATTTCGCCAACTTTCTTTCAAATTTCTGCAAGCGGGCCGCAAAAAAATCAACGAACTATTTTTCCGGTGCGCGCTTGCTCAAAATTCGCATGGCCGCCTGCCCCCGGCGGTTATCTGAGTAATTAAGGCTAGAAAATGACCAGAGAGCATATTCACGTGAGAGACGCAGACGCGTCGCGGACGCGAGCAGTCGCCTCGCAAGTCATAGGGCCCTGTCTTCCAGGAGCCGATCTGGACGAAGCAAAGGGTAGCTAGTTTCTTACTTATTGTTAGAATCCCCATAAAACAAACGCTTTTCACAGTTCTCGCTGAATACCGAACCTGAGATCTGCTGACTCTTTACAAGTAGTGCTATATAGCGTACTGCAACCGCTTTGCGATTTATCAAGATATATCCTCTCGTTTGATCCTGACTCAACCCTCAGTTACGGTTTGTCTTCAATAATCGGCGATGTGCGAGTAACAGCCATTCTCTGGCATCATATGCTGCGAGATCCTACCTTGACACATTGACGACCATACAGATTTTTATTGTGTGCATTTTGGGATCAAGCCTTTTTACGGGCCAGCCCACACTTTCCAATTATAATTACGCTTACTGTCATTACAGTATACCTACAGTAAATCGAAAATCTGGCAAAAAAGGTAGAGGTCATCCTTAATCTCAATGCAAAAAAAAGCTTATGGAGTTATTTATTTATTTTAGGATAGTAGTCATTTTAACAAAATTCAGGCCTTGGCACATTATGTGTATCAAGCGGTCGTCAGTATGCTAATTATACTACAGTAATAAAGAAGGTGGGTAATTCGCTCCAGAACCTAAGTTAAAGCCAGCTGTACAAAATGGTACCTAAACCTCCTCTAAAGATTTCACGACAAGGGAGTTATCAAGAATCAAACAGTAGGCACATTTTGAGGAACAATTTGTTCAAAAAAATTTCTATAGATTTCTAGCTTGCTCAGGTATACTTTCCATGTCGGCCTTATGCATGTTTGTGTGTTTATCTCATTTTCAAAAATCGAGAAACACAAAGAAGTCAGGATAGGCGAGCAAATAATGCCTTGCTCTTGAATAATTATTACTGTAAAAAACATGAAATCAGCTAAAAGAAGGTAAAATCAAAGTATGAATTGTCAGCAGTTACATTGAAAAAGTTGCTATATGGAGTTTGATAGAATTATAAATATCTTACATTATATATTATTTACCTCTGTCACAATGCACTACCACGATTATACTTGTTTATCTAATGTGGGAAACGTACTGGAATTAAAACAAATCTTGATAAATTCTTTTTTCCATAAATCAATTCCCTCGAATTAAACGAATTGAAATATGGCACTACGAAAAGCAGAGTTTGAATTATTGAGCGACAAAAATGGCGACGTAATATCTAACGGAGAAAAGAAGTCGTTTTTGATCTAACAGTAGGTCGCTCCTATGCAGAGTTGTTCTGAAGCAGCACTTTATTTACAAATTTGTTAAAAATGATGTAACAGTGAGTGAGTCAGGAATCCCACATAAAATAGCTAGAACGTTAATATACGTGCACATCTTCGTTATAAAGCAAGTCTTCCGTAAGGATAGGAATTCAGTTTCTTCGAAATCCATTCCTGTCCTAGGTACTTGTTGGTGTGTAAGAAAAAACGATGGCAGTCGGTAATGAAATTATAGCGAATACGGGCAAAGCTAAGCACGGCTTGGCACGAGGTGAATTTTCGATGAGGCCGCAAATTCGAAATTCCTTTTGACCTGAACCCTAAACATGAGAAAACACACTCAAAAAATGAAACGTCGACTAAAAAAACCACAAAGCCACAATTTTGTGTCTTTTCCGCCTTAAAAAGGACACCGCTTTGCTTTTTATCTCAAAACGATATCCAGCTTGCTTACAAGCCACCTGCACCGAGCCCTGAAGCGAAGGTAACGCTCAAACTTTCATGCACGAGCTGCGGAACAGTTAGCCATGTGGGAGTGAAAACGGCTGCAAGCATTCGAAATCAGACGCGAACTCGAGGTGAAAATATAAGTGGGAAAATTTCACGCAATGGTAATTTCCATAAAATGTGAGTACCTGAACCTTGCATAGATACTAATGTAGCGGCCTAAGGTAAGCCGGTGCCCAAGCGGAAGCTCCTATTATTTTTAGTAGCTTAGAAATCCTACAAAAAGCTCCGATCCAGACCGTAATGCTTTCGGGAAAACCAATCAGCGCCCTTGGTACCATAGTAAGTACGGTGTGAGCAAGAATATAGTTGTAATTCAAGACCACAAAAGAATCATACGAGATGAAGCTTAAAGGCAGTAGATTAGCAGAATAGACCTTTGTCAGATTTTGGTAGTGTTAGGTAGTTGACCCTCCGAATACACCGTAGCTCCTCCCACCCTCCATTTTATGCTCTAAGTCCTGTAATGGAGATTCACTCCACAGCCCCGCCCACTTCCGTTGAGGGGCGTTATTGGTGGAAGTTTGGAGCGTTTTTCAGGAATTAGCGCATGAATTGGAGGGTGTGGTTGGGACTACGGTGTATGGGGGGTCTACTACCTAACCAAAATCTGACAGAGGTCCATTCTGCTGATCCACTGCCTTTAAGCAATGAGTCACTTGAAGTTCTCCACTTTCCCTTGAAAATGCTTTACGAACCCATTTCTTTTATGTAGCGCTTTCTTTCAGTAGGGAGGATGGGAATTTCCAACACTAATGCAGAGGCCTTCCAGGGTACTGGACATCCAGAATTTTTTTTGGTGAGAGTGAGGAGGGGAGCGCGTGACAAATTATTTTTTCTATCATCGACGAAATACGTTAAGCGCACTTTTAATTTTGTAGTCTTTTTTTGGGATTTTTGCGGATAGGCTCCCTGAGTAAGTTTTTCGATTTTGAGCTTTTGGAGATTTGCAAGGAAATCAAACATTTTTTGCAAAACGATTCCATAAACAACACGACTGCCATCGGCTATACTTACAGAAAAGGTGAATCAAAAGAAGCACAATATATCTATCGCAAAATTTCCAGTTTTCGAAAACAACCTTAGCTTGAAAAATGCATGAAAATGTTTGATTATTGCTAAGATCTTAAATATATATATATATACATTTTAGGTTGAACCAAAAGTTCTGTCGCATTACTTTTAAAAAATCGTAATTTCTTCCTGCCACGGTATTTTTTTCATTCAAAATACCACTAGAAAGAGTAACTCATGTAATTTCTGAGATCCATTATCCTAGAATTTTTTGACCCCTCTTTCTAGCTTAGCAAAATTCGTGCTTATCGAGCGGTTCCTGAAGAAGTT